CAGTCTTTACCACAATTTGCTATGATTTTTAATTAGTTTCCTCCTACTGCAGAAATGATATTTTGTTTTATTCAGAAATCTTTTATCTATGGCAGTCCTGGGTACATAATATGAGATTTAAAAAAAATGATTGAAATACATAAGAGCTGGAATGCAAATGTGCATGCTATCTATTCACAGCCAGCTTTACCGCATGCTGTATGGCCTTACATAAATCACTTAACCTTGATGATCACTTAATATTACATTTATATACTGAGTAATATAAACTTTCCAAGGAGATAGTCTAGGGCCAGAAGGAAACTATGGAAAGGAATCCCTCAAATTCTTGCTGCAACCCACCTGGTAAAATATAATTAACTTTCCAAAGGCTGTCTGCTTTGAAATAAGGGGAAAAAAAGATGTATGTGACCTTGTCTAGCCCCCTCTTGTTTGAAAATGTTCATGTGACAATAACCTGTCCTATCCCAAAGAAAAGTAATGTAGTTCTGAGAGGCCAAAAAGAGTAAACAAGCCTAGCAAAATTCTCCTCAGTTTATTCCAATAGGTCATGACCCTTTTGTCTAATCATATTTGACATGGCCAGGCATTCGTCTTCAAACTTAAGCAAATGTTGTTTCCTGGGTATTCAGATGTTCATGGGAAGTCTCTATGTCTCAAAAAAAACTGGTTAAATAAATACATTATGCTTTCATTTTGTTATTCTGTCATTCATCATATGTATCAGTCATGAGACATGCAATGGGTCATACAAACACAAGCGGAGCACGAATCAGGTTAGGACTTGGCCTCCAATAAATACTCCCTCTAAGCGATTCACTTCTCTTATTTGTATGGCATGACATTGAAAAAGTCTCAGTTGACATTAACAACAGCTTTTCTATCTAACCCTGAGGCTGACTAAAGGTTTGGTAAATGTTTAAAAATATTTAAATGTTAATAGTATCAAATGCAAACAAGTTGTCATTATTAAAAAGAAATTCAGTGGTGTTTCTCCTGTTCCATATAGGGTCATCAGCTCCATTAAATCAACTTCAAAGACCACATCTTGCACGTGAAGATTTAATAATAATTTGGAAGCCAGCAATCACCATCTGCTTAGCCTTATGTACACCTGCTTATGTTTGGCTTGCTTTGAAAAATATTTAATGATATACAAATTAATAGCTTTATCTTTTTGATTGTATGTTTGTAATATTCTTAGTACTTAACATGGCATAAATTCCAAGATTTCTTTTTCATTCTTCACTTCTTAGATAAATATTATTGCCCATGCCATACTGAAGTAAAGATAGGTTTTATCAATTAGTTATTGTGATAATATTACTGTATGAAAAAGAAATTCAACGTAGAATCTTATAGCCACTAAGTGTTCATTATTCTCTTTAATTAAATGATCTTACAAAGGGATTTCAATTATACATATTAGTTTATGAATACATTGCCTCCTGATCAATGCCACCTTTCGTTATGCTGCCACATCTCTTCCAACTCTTCATGATTTTGGGGCCCAACTTTAATCATTTTTTGGAATTAGTTTGGATTTGTTCAACATGTTGGATCATTTTCTGGGGACAAAGGGCCACTTAAAGGTTGGGGAAATATAGGAGCATCCCCAGAACCACCAAAGACCTTGGCCCAAAATTTATAGGCTCTCTATAATCTGTCTGAATTCCCATGGCTCAAGTCATAACCTGACTAAGCCCATTATCAATGAAGGTAGAAGGTCTACTGGATACTCAGCTTGCCATAGTTAGGACCAGTCTTATCTACATAAATATTGTAGTCTGGGTGAATATTCAAGCAATGCATGCTTTCACTTGCTCCAAAAGCATGATTCTGGTTATTTTCAGTGTTGAATTTTTTACTATTCTTGAAAATAGCCTGACTTGAAAATTTCAGTAATTATAAATACCTTATTATGCTGATTAAAATGTAACCTCTAACATTCAATTTTCTTTCAATTAGGTATACAATTCCCCTGAAAAATCAGAGTACTTAGACTTTGATGAGAGGTTCCTTAAAAACAAAGATCTAAATCCCATAATGGCTTCAATTCTTTTCTCTCATGAGTTTATTATTTGAATGTCCTTGGAAACATATGAGTTTTTTGTTTTTGTTGTTGGTTGTGGGGCTTGAACTCTGGGCCTGGGCACCGTCCCTGAGCTCTTCACCTCAAGGTGAGCGCTCTACCACTTGAGCCACAGCACCATATCTGGTTTTCTGGTGGTTTATTGGAGATAAGAGTCTCACAAACTTTTCTTGACAAGCTGGCTTTGAACCACGATCCTCAGATCTAAGCCTCCTGAGTATCAAGGAATACAGGCATGAGCCACTGGCGCCCAGCTCACAACTGAGTTTTTAAATAAATGAATTTCAAATAGTTTTTATGCAATTCATAAACATAGAAATTTCTATTTCCAGTGACCTTTTCAATATTAGTATTCAAATTACTACAATTATTTCAAGCAGTCACCTGTAATAGACAAAAATATACATTTTTTTTATTGTTTTGGATTAAAATACAGGTTTTTATTGTTTGGGATTGTGCCAGACAAGTACTCTATACTCTATCATTGAGCTAAAACTCCATACTAATATTACAAAATCTTCTCTTTTTCTTGCCGGCTATGGGGCATAAACTCTGGGCCTGGACACTTCTTGCTTTTTTTGCTTTTGTGGTGCTGAGGAATCGAACCCAGGGCCTCATGCATACAAGGCAAGCACTCTACCACTGAGCCACCTTCCCAGGCCCTTACCAAATCTTTAATTACAAAGGAAAATCATATAATAAAAGGTACATTATCATGACCTAGATTTTCAAGTATTAATAATAACTTACATATAATCATAACTTTGATGTAATATGAATCATTATAATTATAGCTGAAGTTTACATAGCAGCTCTTCCCTATTTCAGGTTATACCTTCTTCTCCTAAAGAGATAACTACTTGCTTAAACATCTTAAAAAATTACAAAATGAATCAGGAAGTTAAATTATAAATCCTTTTTCCATCTTGCTATATTGTTAGAAATTATGAAAAATTTCAACAAAATGTAAGCATGTGTATATGAAAAGATATATGAGTTATATGACATACATCATTCTTCTACTTAAGTTTACAAATTATGGTTTTAAATCTATTGACAAAGTGTTGACAAAGATGTATTTAAACCTCTCATTCTATACAGTTTTGGATTTAGATTATTTTTTATAGATTTTTGTATTTACCCATCTTTGTTTTTAATATTACAAAAAGGAATTTTAAAATACTTTTCATGACTTTTATTTTCCAAATGGCAGATTTACACCTTAATAATACATTTTTTCTTAATATATATTTTATTGTAAAGATACTGTGCAGAGGGGTTATAGTTACATGAGCAAGGTAATGAGTAGATTTCCTATTGAACATTGTTACACCCTCCTTTATTTTTCCTCTACCATCTCTTCCCTCTCCACTTCCCCAACTCCTCCTTCCACACTGAAGTTGTATAGTTTGTTTTCATCATATTGTCTTGTACATCTCATTGTTACAATGGGTCATCTTGTATCCTTATTTCAGAATTGTGTTATATCCCTTCCCCTCCCCAAGTTAAAAAATGTATATACAAGATGCAAGACACTGGAATCAAATACAGTGACAACAGGGGTTGTAACATGGGGGAAGAACAAAGAAACAAAAAAAAAATCACATAGTACATTATACATATATTAAAAAGAACAGCAACAAAGATAAAACCTCTTTTGTACCTATCATGGGGTTCATTTCATTAGCATCGCGTTATATGGTCATATGTACATAGCTTTTGACCTCTTCTGCTTGCCTAGACATATACTAGTTATTGTAGATAAGGAAAACCATGAGACTTATGTTTCTTTGAGTCTGGCTTACTTCACTTAATATTCCATCTCACCCCAGTTAGAATAGCCATCAGGAAATCTAATAACAACAGATGCTAGAGAGGATGTGGCCAAAAGGGAATCCTACTGCATTGTTGGTGGGAAGGTAAACTTGTTCAACCACTTTGGGAAGCAATAAATAGAGCTCCCTATGACCCAGCAATCCCACTTTTAGGCATTTACCCAACCGATCACAAACAAGGCCACACTAAAGCTACCAGCACTATGTTTACCAGCAGACTATGTTTATTGCAGCATTATTCACCATAGCCAAGATAGGGAACCAATCCAGATGCCCCTCAGTAAATAAATGGATCAAGAAAATATGGTGTGTGTGTGTGTGTGTGTGTGTGTGTATGAATTCTATGCCTCCATCAGAAAGAATGACATAGCCACATTTGTTAGAAAGTGGAAAGACTTGGAAAAAATAATACGTTTTTAAAAATAGTCTTTGCCTGATATTATAATGAGCAAATATATTTGCCTTAGGTGTGAATAGTCTTCTTTTATTTATTCTTTTTATTTTATTCTTTCTTTTGCTCTCTCTTTCTCTTAATAAATGATTAATTTTCAACTTGATTCTTTGGAAACATTAAGCTAAATGAAATGTTAATTTTCTTTCAAAATATAACAAGCTTTTAGTTTGAAACTATTTTTCATACATAACTCTTCCTCATATTTCACTTATAGTTATTGTTTAGTAATCTAAATTCACTTTTATATCACATATATCATTCTTGTTCCTAGCTGTGGTACTGTGAACCTATTTGTTGAACAGATTTTCCTTTTGATATTAATCTTCAGTGATCCAATAAAACTCATGATTCCATTAGAGTCTAGGATATCTGAGCAAAATTTTATAATTTTAGAACAACTTCATTGGCAATATTATCATCTGTACATTTTTTCATTCATACACTGAGAGAAAGCATACTTCTAGTATGTAAAAAAACACATTTTTATATTTGCTTTTTGACTATTCTTGCAAGTTTGTTCCTCTGTCTTAAGAGTTAAATATACCTCAAGTATGGTAGAGTGTATGAGGTTGCAGCATAGTAGTCTCAGTGACTAGAAAGAGTTAAGAAAATCACTGACCTGTCCAGCAGTGTCCAAGATGTCCAAATAGGCAGGTTCATTGTCAATCCTGACCTGTGTCTTATAAGCATCTTCTGAAAAACACAAGACAGAGTTCCTATTTAAATATGGAAAGCTGAACATCCAAAGTGAATGCAGTAGATTTTGCATAGTCAAACTCAAAGTAAAATGAAAATCTGAATATAGTATCAAAACATATAAATAAGATAAAGCAGCAAGAAGCTTTATGTTATTTGTTCCAGTTGTATCTTTTCCATACAACACCAAAATCACAGACAGGCAAAAAAGTAATGGTAGTAAAAAAGGACTAATGCTCTTAATAAAAATAAACAAAATAAAATATATAGCATAAGTAGAATTAGAGAATACACAACTTACATCTAGCTTCTTTCACTAAACATATAAAGAATATGATGATGTAAGTGTAATAATAACCATATATCAGTAATTCATTCTTTTTGATGGCTGAGTAATATTTGATAATATGTATAAAATCATACTTTACTCATTTATATACACATAGGTTGCTCACAAGGTTAGCTATTATGATTAGTGTTGGAATTAATGTTTTTAGACAGTAATATCAGTTTAGTATTATAGGAATGTTCTTTGGAGTGTTCTTTAAAGTGATTATTTCATGTATAAATTTTATACGGCTCTGCTAAATGATTCCACAGTTTCTAAAACATTTTGCATTCCCACATAAAAATTGTGAGGATTATTGTTGTCCTAACTTGTTGCCTATACTTTTCTTATTTCTAGTTTTTATGTAACCAGTTGTCATACAGTGACAATCCCATGGTGCTGATCATTTATTTATTTTTATTTTATTTCTTAATCTTAATTTCAACCCTGAGTAGAAGTTAGTCAGTGTAAAAACAAGATAAGAGAAGGAAAAATGAAAGCTAGAATTCCAGATATTAAATAAGAAATAGCAAACAACAAATAGTTTTAGTGTGGCTAACCAGTAGGCTTTAGAGAAGAGAATGATGATCAAGTTTAAAAGATTAACTGTAATTTATTAAAGAGAATATGGTTTTGCTTGTGAGAGAAGCATCTGATCTTACACTGCGTGAGTTTAAACTGTTTCCACCACTGCTGTTTTTCTGATTTTAAAAAAATCTCTTCATATCATTAAGTGTTGATTTGTCAAATGTGACAATGTTTGTATTTCATTCATGACACTGTTCAGAGGATTTAACTAGAATGTTTAGAAGCTATAAAGCAGAGTGTCCATGTGCATTATTTAGTAAATATTAAATGTGGCATTGCAATTAATAAATCTGGATGTTATAATGCTATCATAAGGAAGTCATGTGTAGAATGCTTATGCCATTTGAAGCATGATGAATAAGTGAAGGGCTTTAAGAAACATAGGGAAAAGATCAAAGAGATATTTAATAGTCTAGTGAGACAAGATAGAGACCTTGGTGATGTTTGAGGATGGACTCCATTTGAAAGATCTCCAAGATAATTAGAATCAGCATTAATGACTGATTAGATGTGGGACCTGGGAAAGAGAAAAGTATTGGAGAATTCTTCAAATTTCTGACATTTGTAATAGGGGAGTTGTGACATTGCCTGAGAGAGGAAAAGCAGAAAGGTAACCACAGTTTCCATGTGGGAAAATATTTTGTCATATCATTGCGTTTTTTGAGAGAAGATGATGAATAGAGAGTTGTCTGGGCCTGACACATTGGATAGCGCTCTGAAGTTTTCATTTACATACACATACCTTCTGTACGTAGCAAGCCTCATTTACACATTTCTACCTGCTTTAATATGTACAATGAATCCCTTTGTACAACTACTTAAAGATAATAAAAAATGACACGCACAATGAGTGTACACTCTTGAACTTTTTCATCCTGAAGATACATTCCTAGTCTGCATTTTTCCTTCTAATATCTATATCGTACACCGAAAGCAAGAATAAAACAAAAGCAACAAAAACAGCTGTCACTGCCTAACCTAAAGTGATTTGAACATCACTGATTTGGACACAAGTCAGTCATCGTTCATAAGCCACAAAGCAATAAATGAATCATTTCTAAAATTTCTGGATTTACAAAGTAGAAATGACCAAAAGTAAGAGTATCTTTGTTGGAGCACAGTGATGAATACTTTCATATCCCATACTTTTGTTTGCTGGTGATAAGAAAACCTACATGTGCATACACACACACACACGCATACACACACACACACACAGAAGCACATTTGGCATATAGTCAATCATATAATTTTTTTAAAATTTTCTATCCAGCTGCTCTCTGTACTTTCAGTGGCGTTTCTGTCATAAAAGAGAAATCATGCGAAATTACTTGCATTTTTAAAAGGCACGTTATTTTCAATTTCACAGAGAAATAAGAGTAACTATGAAAAGGGCTCAGTGACCTGATGATGATAAGTGAGCTTTTCAAATTCTGTGTTTGTTTATTGAAACTCAAAGACCCAGAGCAGAACCTACTGAGGCCAGGGACATGCTGAGTAATCAAGCAAGAGCTCTGCATGATTATCTAAGCCTTAGATAAGCTCAGCCCCTGAAACAAGTATTAAACACGAGCTTCTGTGGAGATCTGAAAAGTACTTCAAAGAGACTTGATGTGAATTGGCTGGAAACTAAAGTCAGGTCCTCCATCTGAGGCTTTTTTTCCCCCTCCTTTTCTCCTCTCTTTTAAAATGCGTCCATCAGTGTATACATTCCAGTGTAGGAAATCTAGGTCACCTGCCTGGCCTCCATAGAAACTAATCCCTTTCATATCCTCTCCATAAACAATCATTCTTTCACTTTCCATTCATCAACTCCCTTTGAGGCCACCGATGCAGAAATGTTCCCTTAGAAATTCTCTGCTGAATGCATATAAACACTTCCTTGAATTTCAATCATCTGCCTATAGACCTAACCCTGAAGTGAGCTCATTTATCTTCCCAAGCAAGAGGCCAAATGTACACAAAGGTTTATCAAGCAGAAATGGTAGCAGCTGCATGATGTTTCCTTTACAAAGAAAATCACATTGGGACCATGTTCTTGGAGGCATCTACCACCTTAAAATGTATCTCAAAATATGAATATTTGAGACTCTTGCTTATCATACAGTACATCTTCCTTATTCTCCAACCCCAGGAGAATGTTTTGAGAAGAAAATACTAAAGGCCTATGCTAACACTTTTAATTTATCAATAACTATATATGTTCTTATTGGCCAGCTATTTAACCTTCTTAGTCAAATGCATATGTTACATGTAGTCAATGATAAGTGTTCTATAAATATATACGGCAGCAGTACATACAAGAGTACTTAAACAAGTCCCAAACCAAGGAACATTATTGTATTTTGATTGGCGGAGGATGTAAAAATGGAATATGATATTTGACTTGTGAAATGGATAATGAATGATTTTAAGATAAATGTAAGTGTGCTGTGGATAAGACTTCCTTGGTAACTCGTTACTTTAGCTAGTAACTGTAATTGTAACTCTGTAACTCCCTAACCCTGCCACTCTGTAACTCTCCTTCTGCTGTTTTCTGAGCAATAGGAGCCCTAACCCAGGGGAACCATCACCACCCTTTGTTCTATCTATTCCCCTGGTTCCCACCAGCAAAACCTTGGCGGGAAATTTAAACTTAAGTTACGCATTTCTGGTAACAATCATTGGCTTAAAACCAACATCCAGCCTCCCCCTTTCCCTGCCCTAGCCCCAAATGCTTAAAAGGCAATGTGGGCTGGCCCTCAGACAGTTTCCTGGGATCCCAGCTCCAGGTGCGCGCAGTCCTGGCGCATCAGCACTTTTCGCTCAATAAACTCTTTTACATTTTCAGCGTGGACTGAGTGGTCTCACTGCCCCCCCACTACGATTTTTTTCTGTAATTGTTTCTAATTAATTAAGCCTCAGTAAAATTAAATCACTTGCACTCTTTGTACTTACCCATATGCGAAGGTATTGTCCCAGAAAACAAATCATAGAGGATTTGAATGAATACACTTTTGGTAATCATCAACTATATGATTTTTATTAGTTTTTGAAAATTATATTTTATTAAAAGGAATTCAATGAATCACTCTCCAAGACAAATGTATTTACTTATTTTTAAATATCTTACTTATAAAATCAGGGTCATTTAATACCATAAAATATATAGATGGAATAAACATCAGAGCTTTGGTTGCTAGATGAGTTAAAAAAAAAACTTACAAAAATAAAATGCATCTTATATTGATCTCAAAAACACATAATTGAAAAAATACATAATTGATATTTCAGTGAAGTTCTTTTTCTTATTCTGAACTAGTATACATCTTCAGATACTAATTAAGGACAAACAAAAAAAGTTTTTAAAGGTAACAAAAATACAAAGGCCGGCTGGGAAGATTGCTCAGAGGTGGAGTGCTTGCCTTGATGAGGCCCTGGGTTCAAATCCTCAGCACCACATAAGCAGAAAAAGCTGGAAGTGGCGCTGTGGCTCAAGTGATAGAGAGCTAGCCTTGAGCTGAAGAACTAAAGGACAGTGTCCAGGCCCAGAGTTCAGACCCCACAACCAACACCAAAAACAAAACAAAAAAAGCAAAAACAAAAAGGCTTAAATGATATACTCTGATACCTATCTCTGAGGATTGTTTTGATAAATCACATGTTGCACAGGTGTGCACATATACTGAATAATACTGGAATTTTCCCTTGAGAAAGACATTAAGTCATGGCTTAGTCAGTACTGATGCAAATGTAATTATACATCAATACATTTATCAATTATTCCATAATAACTGAATACAGATTGTAATGTGTAACGGTGGTGCCCATTTTGATGAGCACAGAGTTTACAATGTTGAAAAATGCAGCACTGGCATCTACCCACATTGAGTTCATAATCTTGGAGGAAATTTATGAAAATATCTAGGCAGTCATACCCTATTTTAATAAGAGATGTGCTTATTCAGTGAAACAGAAGAACATACTCAAAGGGATCAATATGGACTATGGTTATAGTAGGAAACAGTTTTTCACAGAGAGATGTTTTAAACAGACAGTAACTCAGTAAACTTGTATGACTTTATTACCAAGCAACAAAGAG